CTTGAATGAACACTTCTACTCAAGTCAATCAAAGATAGTTCGATATTTAAACAGGCAATAACAAGTCACAAGTTAATTTCAAGCATACACAGGTAGGCACATTCAAATCGAGAGAAAAGAAAACATATCGAGACAACACTCGAAACTTTCGAATAAAAGAAATGTTTTATTAATATCGAGAATAGTACATCGGTACTTTCCCCCATCGTCGGGGCCAGAGGGGCAGCCCTTGACGGATGGCCTAGAACATACCTTAATCAGTGAGATAGCCTAACAATATGTCGATTACTCACCCCTTCTAAAAAGCAAATGAGATTTTAGAACTATGCTACTACTAACCGTTACAATGTTTGAAATAGGGACATTTTTCTTAGCACAAAAGATCTACCCTCCCCCTTGGCACCTTTACCCGATCATGGCCCTATACATGGATGGCTCATGACAACCTAAGCTCAATCATGGCCCTATACAAGGTTGGCTCATGACATCCTCCCCCACCTATTCTATCGACGTCCTCGTCGACTTGCTGGCTTGGAATTCTTCAATCTTCTTCTTGAATGCCCAGAGGTCGTGGTCTCTTTCCCAGCTAGTTTCTTTCGGTCTTAATCCTTCCCATTTTACTAAGTATTCACGTACTAGTCTTCAAGATACTCTGGTTTCCCTGTCAGCTAGGATCTCTTCAACCCAACGTTCTGAGGGTGGCTTCATGGTGATGGCGGCCTTGGTTGACTCCCTACAGCTAGCATCTGTAGGATCTGCGTAGAAAGATTTTAGGTTGCTCACATGAAACACTGGGTGCACCTTCATCCACTTTGGTGGGTCAATTTCGTAAAAACGTTCCTTACCTTGGAAAGGATCTTCACTGGACCCTCATATTTGCGTATCAATCTACGATTTTACTTCCTCAAGGACCTGGTTTGTTCAGAGACTAGTCGGACAAGAACCAAATCACCAACTTGGAATTGTAGCACCCTGCAACCCTTGTCTGCCCATTTCTTCATTCGCTTCGACGTTTTCTCCTAGGCTTGTGCAATCTCTGTGTTTTGTTTACATTCTTTGCCGAGGTTGAAGGCTCGCGAATTTTTCCCTCCATATTACTCCAGGGACGTATGGGATACCCTTGGTAGTTGTCCAGTGACCACCTCCAATGAACTCTTGTTGGTGGAAAAGCTCTTGTTGGAATTAAAACAAAGCTGAGCGACGTCCAATAACGAAGGCCAGTCTTTCTGATTGGCTTACACGAAGTGCCTTAAGTATTCCTCTAGCAACCTATTGAACCATTCAGTTTGGCCGTCGGTTTGAGGGTGGTAGCTTGAAGAGATGTTGAGTTGGGACCCCAATATCTTGAAAAGTTCTTTTCAGAAGGACCCCGTGAATCTTGGATCCCTGTCGCTTATAATGGTCTGAGGAAGGCCCAATATTTGATCACATGTTTAAATAGTAGCCGAGCTATGTCTTCTGTAGTACAATACTTTTGGGTGGGGATGAATGTGGCATACTTTGAGAAACGATCGATCACCACCAAAATAGCCTTAAGATCACCAACTTTAGGTATAACTAAGATGAAGTCAAGAGAGAGACTTTCCCACAGTCTAGCGGGCACTGGTAGTGATTCAAGCATGCCTACAAGTTTCTTCTTTTCAACTTTGTCTTGTTGGCAATAGAGCTAAAGTGCATAGCCAACCTGGGTGTCCCGCCCACAGTGTGTCATGGCATTCCCTCAACAATATCTGTCTCAGACCTCCTGCCTTCGGCACAAACAATTGAGGGCCCTTTGTCCACAAGATCCCGTTCTCCCGCCAGAAGTACTTAGACTTCCCTTCTTCAACTAACTTCAAGATGGCACTAGCCTGTGGGTCCTTTCCCAAATTATGCTTGCGAACGTCTATCATAACTTTACTAGCTGCTATTGGGGCAATTCTCCTAAGAGCCGTTAACTCTGCTCGTCTGCTCAATGCATCGGCCACTTGATTGGTTTTTCCAGTGGTGTGCTCAAAATAAAAGTCAAACTCAGCTAAAAATTCTTATCATCTAGCTTGCTTCACTATGAGCTTTGGTTGGGTGAGGAAATCGCTAGCTGTCGCATTGTCTGTCTTCACGACAAAGTGTGAACCCAACAAATAATGTCGCCAAGTCCTCAGACAATGAATTACAGCCAAGAGTTCTTTTTCCTGGATCGTATATTTCTTTTCAGCTTCGCTTAGCTTTCTACTTTCAAATGCTATTGGGTGACGTTCTTGTAAAAGCACTCATCCAATAGCGAATTCAGATGCATCCGTTTGAACTTCAAAAGGCTTTTCGAGGTCTAGGAGAGCTAAGACAGGATCTTTCATAATTAGGGATGAGAATTCAACCCGACCCCGACGGGTTTCGACCCGACCCGACCCTATGAGGTCGGGTTTTTTTTTTTTGAATTTCGGGTTTCGGATCGGGTCGGGTAATATTAGGAAATAATCGGGGTCGGGTCGGATCGGGTACGGATTATATAATATCGGGTTCGGGTTCGGGTTGGGTATGAAAAAATAAAAAAATTTCGGGTCGGGTCGGGGGTCGGGTTTATTGATGATAAAGTCGGGTCGGGTTCGGGGCGAGCAAAACCCGCCCCGAACCCGACCCTATTCATAATGGCTTCCTTCAATCCTTCAAGGGCCTTTTCACATTCGCTTGTCCAACACCATTTATGCTCCTTTTTCAATAGTTCCGTGAGGCCGTAGTCATGTGAAAGTACCCTTTTACAAATCTTCTATAATAATTAGCTAATCCCAAAAATGAGCGGAGTTCACTAACATTCTTCGGTGTAATCCACTCCTTGATAGCCCTAACCTTTTTCATGTCCATTCAAATGTGGTCATGTTCGACCATGTGACTTAAAAAATGGATTTAGGTTTGGGCAAATGCACATTTCTCCCTTTTCACATACAACTGGTGGTCTTGTAATCTTCGAAGCATGAGACGCAAGAGTTCTTAGTGTTCTTCCAAAGTAGAGCTATATACCATATATCATCTAAATAGATGACTACAAATTTGTCAAGATAATCATGAAATACCTTATTCATCAATGTACAAAATATGACAGGAGCATTAGTCAATCCAAAAGGCATAACAAAAATTCAAATGCACCATATCGCATTACACAAGTGGTTTTTGGCTAATCTCCCTTTGCAATTCTAACCTGATGATAGCCAGATCTCAAGTCCAATTTGGAAAATATTTGGCCTGACTTAGTTGATCAAACAAATCTGCAATAAACGGGATGGGATATTTGTTTTTCACGGTGATTTTGTTTATGGCCCTATAGTCTACACATAACCGTAGGACCTTAGGCAATTTCCCTGGCATCACACCTTCGAACTCTTCCAACACCATTTTCACCCCATCAAGTATCGGTTCCAACTCCATCCCTTCTTTATAAATCAGCATGGCCACAAATGAAGGTTCCCCTCTCTTTACCCCTTTTTGAACTGTAAAGCTGAAATCATTTTTTTCATTTTTTCGACAAGATAGTGGCCGACACCACACATGGGTGTTCCTTTAAGAACAATAGGCAACTAGCGACGGGGATTGAGATCACCTGAGCCAACATTATGAAGTCCAATCTGAAGACAACATCAAAGTTATCCATGAGGGTAACTGTAAAGTCTACCTTTCCTTCCCATGGGCCTAACTTGGTCATCACACTTTTGGAGCTTCCACTGATCGCAAATGCTGACGAATTAACCACCTTCATTTGCCCACAGTCCTTACTGACCTTGAGACCACACCTTTTTGCTTCCTCAGGTGTGATGAAGGTGTCGGTTGCACCCGTGTCTACCATGGCCCTTGTGGTCTTCTCGTTGAGTATTAGGTCCACATACATCAGGCCTCTACGTGCTCTTTCTTTATCGCGTTTAATTGGGTGCGGAGGGCATTGAGGAACCTTATTGAACCCATCCTGGCTAGCTCTTCTTCAACTTCTTCGACCATTTCTGGTGCTTTTGTGGACTCTTGAGACGAGGCTCCTAAGGCATTAAGGGCTCCTCTGCGTGGGCATTCAACCATCTGATGCGATAGCCACCTGATGCGGCCCCTTGCATAAGAAGCAAGCTAGCAGTTACCTGGGCTTGAAAATCACTGCATTGTTTGCTTTGGGTTAGGTGCTGTCTCGACCAAAGGGCCTCCTATCTGGTCCCCCACTGAAGGGTCGGTCCACTTTGATTATCTTTCCCCCACTCCCAAAGTTGAAGTTACTGCCACCTGATGGAAGATTTTTCCGTTTTGAGGAGCCATCATTATAATTATGAAGATGTTCGACCGCAGCCATGACCGTGGCCACATCTTGCACTTTCTGTCTTTGTAGTTTTGTCTTGGCCCAAGGCTTGAGGCCCTTAAGGAAATAGAACATCTTGTCCTTCTCGGACATGTCTCTAATATCCAACATCATGGTAGAAAAACTCCTTACAAACTCTCGCACTGTTCCCATTTGCACCAATTCTCGAAGTTTCCTTCGGGTCATATATTCCACATTCTCAGGGAAGAACTGGTTTTTCAAATCTTATTTCAAATTCGCCTAAGTTTTAATCGGGCACTCATCGTTGACAAACTTTGAACGCCACCATAGCTTGGCATCCCCGTAAGGTACATCGACGCCATTGCTATCTTATCTTCCTCTGAATCCATGTGTACAGCTCGAAAGTATTGCTCCATGTCAAACAGGAAGTTTTCAAGCTCTTTGGCATCTTTCGCCCCCTCATAGCATCGAGGCTCTGGCACCTTGGCCCTTTTCCCCCTTTACGTCGAGCTAGAACTCGATCTGGCCACAACCATCTGTAGGATACTCACTTGCGCTCTGAACTCCTCAAACTCTTTTTGAAAAACATTCAAGGCATCTCTAGCCTCTTCGCTCAAGCTATGTAGAGTATCAGACAACTCCCGCTGGGTTGTCTCGATCTCCCTCAGTCGATCATTGGTCACCATATGAGCTTTTAAAGCGACCACCGTGGCCTCAAGCTCCTCAAGTCTCTGTTGATAATTGGGTCCATCACTCGTGGCCATTTCATCAATTCTCTAGCACTTCTCAACCGTGCTCTGATACCACGTGTCACGGGCTAAGCTCTCTCTCAATGAAGCGATAGATCGTGTGGCACATGAATGGATGCTTCCACCCAAGTCAACCAAGGATAGCTCGATATCTGAACAGGCAACAACAAGCCATAAGTTAATCTCAAGCATACACAAGTAGGCACATTCATATTGAGAGAAAGGAAAACACATCGAGACAACACTCGGGACTTTCAAATAGAAGAAATGTTTTATTAATATCGAGAATAGTACATCGAAACTTCCACCATTGTCGGGGCTAGAGGGGCAGCCCTTAACGGGTGACCTAGCACATATCTTAACCAGCGAGGTAGCCCAACAATACGCCGACTACTCACCCCCTCTAAAGAGCAAATGAGATTTTAGAGCTATACTACCACTAACCGTTACAATGTTTGAAATGGAAACATTTTTCTTAGCACAAAAGATCTACCCTCCCCCCTTGGCAACTCTACCCGGTCATGGCCCTATACATGGGTGGCTCATGACAACCTAAGCTCGCTCATGACCCTATACAAAGTTGGCTCATGACACCTGGCCTCTTAAAATCTAAGAGAGAAAAAACAATGAGCTCTCACGATTTACAAACTAAGCATTTTCAACCTCACAAAGTAGTAAGCTACCGGTTTAAGTTCAGTCATTGGTTTCCTACTGTTCTGTGCGCAAGTAACTGGCAGGTCATCGAACATGGTCTGCCAAGGCATATTTCATTGGACTGCAAGAAATGCTGCTCGATTCACTTCATCACCATCAACAATTTCCTCCATTTTTTTTTATTGATAGCATTTCCTTGAGCCTACATTTCAAAAGACAAATATTTCAGCATATCATCAACACCATGGGATAAGACAATCTGCAAATCCAAAACTCCTAACCTTTACAACAATCGCAATGGCTGTTTTTAGCTTTACAAGCTCACCCAATGTTAAAGACCCCTTTTTATCATCTTCAACAATGATCAATGGTACCTTCCTTGATGAAGCCAAAACTGGCAGGTGCTTCGTTAGCCACTTTGGATTGCAACCAGCTGCTAACAAAAAAGCCTACAAGCTTAACAAACATATAACAAACTTTGAGCACACCTTGTTTTAAAACATGACAACTAAGTATAACAAACATATAGCAATAAACAACAAAGTATAGCTCGTTATAAAAACATGACAGATCACTTAAATTTCAAGTATAGAAACAGGGAAGCCAACTTGAAGCCTAACGAAAGGAGATTGGGCACAGATTCCGTTGTCAGCAACAGGTGCCATCCGTTCAAGTAAACGAGTCACATCATTAACACGAATTGCAAATTGCTGCTTATTAACAATGCCCCAAATACATATAATCAGATAATAATAAAACCACCAGGTTAATCAAAGAAAATCAATGAAGCATTGAATAAGAAATCAAACCTTAAGCCATACTTTTTCAGGCAAGGACTTTCCAGCCAATACTCTTTCTGACTCCATCCTTCTGCTCATTGAAATAACTTAAATTATTACCTCCGAAAAATAACTAGTTGAATAAAAAAAAAAGGGTATTTTTAATTATCGATAATGTGTTCGAATCATCTACCTTTGGATTGATTTCAGCACATGAACCAAGCCTTCCCCTTCATAGCAACTGCCAGGACACAGAAATAAAAAATCAAATCAATCAAAAGATTCAAAATATGCATAAACATAAGAAACAAAGACAGACTTACGCTTGCTGCTGAGGCACAGAGCCATCAAGAATGCTGTTTATGGCAGCCTGATTTCTAGGTGGCATGTTTTTCTGCAGAGTTCTTGTTTGATGAAAAGCTTGAAAGAAATTGTCTGTCGCTGTAAACTACAAAATATTACTTCGATTTAGCCCAGAAGCTGAGCGAAAGATATTGGGACATTGGGCCACAAACTTTATGGTATATTATACATGGTCATGAAATTGGGCCATAAATTTTGATTATCTAAGATAATGGGCTCATGTCTAGCTCCAAGCCTACAACCTTTGGGCTCTTATTGTTTAATTATCATTATCACTGACAGTACCCAATCTAATGAACCCCCCCCCCCCCAAAAAAAAAAAAAAGGCTCAGTCTTATAAACCGAAAGAAGAGATGAGAGGAAGAAAAAAAAAAAAAGGGTTGGGCAATGGTAGGGATCATCAAGTGTAAATAAAGAGTAAAGCAACAGGCAATTTATATCTACGGACATCTAATTTTCTTTTACTCGAGGACCCATGAATTTAGGAAGGGAGAGGACAATTTTCAGTTTTGGTCCCGTATCCTTAGCATGTGTGTTTGCCCCAATTGAAATTATCGGAATAAGTTTCAAAAGATTTAAAATCGAGTATCAATGCAGTAAATTATTATGATTAATTCATCGTAAAGTTCAATTCTAAGATAATGAAAATCCAGCAAATAGTAGCTGTGGTCCTCACTGAAGATCTTCGATGGAGTCAAAAGAAATACAACTCTAAAATCATATACAGTTAACTTTATAATGAAGAGAATAATGAGCATTGACAGATCCAATAACACCTTAATTTTAAGGTTATTTGGTAGAGAAATTGGGATGACCACCGCCCTTAATCAAATGTTAAGCCATGTAGGGGAAATATTTATGCTACATCATAACCTTTATAATCAATATTGAGATTGGAGTCATACCATCTATTATAAAATGGTCCTACCAGTAAGTAGTCTAGATTTTCTGTTATTTTTTTCTTCTTTTAAAAAGAGTTCTACTGCTAACCAGCAATTTATATTATGCTTTTATGAAAGAAAGAAAAAAAGAATTTGATTTGTTGTTCTGGTAGGAGTACTTTAAAAACGATTCTCGTTGCTTCACATGTGAATAAATCATTTTGTTTTTGACTGATTCTTTACCGAAGAATATACCATTAACAGCCCTTTGACCAACAGGCTTAGATGAAATTCTTATGTTTTTGCATGTATAACTAGTGCATGCTTGTGTGTCACGGTCTCAAGATGTAAGCCATGAATCCAGGTCTCAAGCTGTGCTAGAGTTTGACTGGACATATGTGTTCACACCATTTTAAATTTCAATGAATTAAAAGGGATAATATCTTTATACACATCTCAATGGATAGTCTTAACTTTTAAGTAGAGATGTTTTACCTTCGTATTCTTTAATTTGTATATTTTATTTTTCATCTTCCATTATCAGAACTGAATAATAAACATTTACTCTTCTTTCAGTTTCTGTAGACTGACATGCATTAATATGATTATTAGAAGGACATAAGATCAGGTGTTGATGAAAAGATTTGTGAAGGTCCCTACCACATGGAAAAATGATGCTTTTACCCCTCAATAATTATGGTAAAGTATTAATTATTTATATACAACAGACAAGTAAGTAGGTGGGTTTGTTGCTAACATGGTGGTCCATCCAAGCTGTCTGTCTACTATGAAGGAAAAACATTGTTAATATTGTTAATTGTTTGTCCTGAGATAGTGATGCACAAGAGAATAAGATTACTATAACATTTTTGTTGCTTGTTCTCTTGGTAGTATTTCTTTTTGGCATTTTATAAGCAGGACTCCAAGTACCGTTAATCCTCCCAGGGAGAGGGGGAAAAGGGTATCTAATTTCCTGCAGCAGAATATTTCAGGTCCTCAATTACCATCTACACATAATCAACTGGTTGGTGAAGTGTTCTTTCTTTCCCAGGTGGAAAAACGAAGACCAAAAAAGAAATATAAAGAAACCTACGAAATCTAATGATTCCCAGAAAAGTTTTTGGTGAAATCAATGACTGTTTTTCTCCCATGCTGACAGGGACCTATTCCTGTTATTACTAAAATATATAGTATATACTTTATTTGATCAAATTGTTTATGTATATTATTGTTACATACACCATACTTTAGAGGGAAATTCAATCATGCCATCACATAATCACCCTGCTCTTGAGCATGCTTGATAATACATTGGTAGCTCAAGCAAGGGCAGACCAAGGAATTAAATGTGAATTTTAAGTATAAATATGTTTTCAGTGGCTGTCAACAAAAAAAACCCAAAGCTAATTATTGGTAATAAGTATGATTATGCGTGTAGAAGTCAAATAAGCAGTATTATAACTCAAATTTTAGAGCTATTAAAGTGATCTGAAAACATGAAGAAATGGTTATGATGTGAAATGAAAATTCATTGCTCAATGTAAAAGCAAAAACTCCTCATTTCTTCAGAGTTTGTTGACAAACATTAAATTTTCCCGCAACAACCTTGTCAGTGAGAACGAAATCCAGTAAATATGAATGATCCTGTTATGCAAGTTGCTTCAAGTGTCACTTTCATAGGACAAATATGCAAATGGAGTTGTTCATGTAATTGATACTTGTGCTGATCAATATAATTATTCTGTCTTAATATCTATCCTTAAAACAATGGAATGTTTGAAGACTAACGAACTTTTTTTTCCGAAGTGACCTACTAAAAATTCAATCAAATACTAGATCTTACCCCAAATCCAAGATTGATTTTTACTATATACCCAAATCATGATGGTTGGAAGACAAGTCAAAAACCAGAACAGAGTTTAGCACACGTTCAATGTATTTCGTTGTCGTTCTTCTTTTTAGGAGACAAATGTAGTAATGCAAAAACTAAGATTTTGGTAAAGTTAAGGTAATGTGATCAAAGAAATAGGAAACATCCAACCTGGAAAAAAAAAAAAAAAAAAAAAAAAAAACCCAAAACCGATAGTCTCTCAAAGAAAAGTCATAGGGCTAAGCCGTGCATGCCAGAGCTTGCATGTTGACACTTTGACAGTCACAAATGAAAAAAATTGTTTAGGGGTTTGTCCTGAATGGTCATTGGATACCTGACTTTGGGAACTTTTTCATTACATTACTGTGATTAAGACTTCCCTTTGTGTCCTCATGTCATACCGGACTTTGTCCCCTTCTTTAAGGACAATTTTTCTTATTTCCTTAAATTACTGTTATTACTTAGTACCTTCATGGATTCATTCATGACTATGAGATTAGCACAGAATGCTTGTATTAGGTAGTCAGACAGTCAATTGTCACTGATCACTGACTTTTGCTAACTGTCAGCCTATTTAATTTCTATGTTGTTTTGTCGAAGCTAAGTTGTAAAAATTGGGACGGGGGGATTCTTGTCTGGTTTTTCTGTTTACTATTAAAAAGAAAAAGTAATCTAATAATCATGATGTTTGAAAGCGTTTTCATAATTTCGTCTGAAATACAGGGATAAGAATGAGACATTACCTCATGGGGTGGAACCAGAGGAATAGACTTGATTTCTTAAATGAAATAGTAAAAAGAAATCGTTAAAGGGGAGTCTAAAAATTTATCAAAGAGATATTCCCTTTTTTTTAAGAATGGAGTTCTTTAATTTGTCAAGGAAAAAGAAGTAAATGAGACATTCAGTAAATGTAAATGTTTCTCTTAAGAAAGAACAAATAAAAGGGAGAAGAAGAAGAAGAAGAAGAAGAAGCTATGAACCAAGAAGGAGATGTGGAAAATGATTTGAAGGGCATAATAATAATGGCCAATCAAATGGAATTTGTTAATGTTTCGGGGTCAAACGATTAAACCCTGACTGGCGAAGAGAGAAAGACAGGTGGTCCATGCCTTGCAAAGCCAGTGACAGTGAGTTCACCAAGCCCACTGGTTTAAACCACTCGGCTGCCGGAGCACAAGTAGGTTCCTCTTTAACTGGTCAAGCCCATTTCGGTCAATCTAGTAAAGCCATATGTTAACATTAATGAAAACCACCTCCCTTAGTATTCATTTACGATAACTTGGGATTCGTGATTCCAAGGGCCATGTTTTATCAGTTACAAAAAGGCTAACCCAACAGAAACAGTTTCGACAAAGCAAACGACGCTGTTGCTCTTGTAAATTATAATGCTTTCCCTGGCTCTGGCAGGAGCTGCAACTTATATGCTTTTCCAAAATCAAAAACTTTTATTGTATTTCCTCGTCAGCTTGTTTTGTTTTGTTTTGTTTTTATTCCTTAGTTATATGTTTAGGACAAACCAAACTAGTTGTAAAAAAACAAGTTATATGTATAGCACAAATTAACCTAGTTGTAAAAAAACAAAAACAGAAAAAGAAGGAAACAACTTTATAAATCCCTTGTTTTGAATTATTATTATAATTTATGAAGAAGGGGTAATGTTACAGACGGGTTTTTTTTTTTTTTTTTTTTTTACCTTTTTATGGATTTTACGAACTTAATTGAATGTAAGATTGTGATCACATGAAATGAGATAGGAAAATGGACGGACAAAAAGAGAGAGAGAGATTGTATAGGATTAGAATGACTCATCATCTCATCTCATCTAATGTAAAAAAGGTCTCTCATTAAATAAAATACACTAATTCGTCTGTCAGTCATCTCAAAATAGAAGCCAGCAGTCAGAAACACTAGCAACACACTCCAAAAAGCTGACTGACCTTTTCGTGATCTGAATATATATACTACCATTACCAACCATTCTATCTTCCATTTTATAGGGTTTGTACATGTTTTCAGCTTCCTTAAAGCTTTAATTTTTCTGGTAATCCTTCATTTCTTCTCATCAGGACAGTTCTCTTTCATTTCTTCTCATCACTACAAAGAGAAGTAATGGAGGAAGTGAAGACATAAGAGGGACCTACTGCTTAATTTTTGGTGGGCAGCAACGGTCACTTTCAATGATTTTTCTTTGGGTGGTGGTGGTTCTCTCAATGACCCATCTAATCACCCACACTCTCTCACACTTGCCTTATTGCTAACTAGCTAACTAGCTAGCTCGAGAAAGGGATCTTGTTCTTGATTTAAAGAAAAATAAAAGAAGACAGCCTTTGCTCTTCTTCCAGGTGTTTCCTTTCTTTTATTTTCATCAAATAAGAGGAGAAGGCTTTAGTTGGAAGAGCGTGATTTTTGTGCTCTTTCTTAAGTGCTTGGGTCAAAAGGGAATATTGCAGATCTCATTCATATGAAGAGATCTTTCAGTGTAAGTTGTTTGATCATTGCTTTTCCTTTTGACTTCGTATTTTTGTTGTTTTGATTTTTTTTTTTTTTTTATGTTTGAATAGGTCTTAATTTGTTCCTAATCGTTCTCCTATAATACTAAGTTCTTGAGCTTTGAACAAGATCTGAACAAAATGTTCAAAATGTGTTATGGAAGGACAGGTTTACTCATCTATTGTTGGGATCTAACCAAGCAAATGATTCTTCTTTTTCGCTTTTGTGAGCGTGTTAAACTAGTAGGAGTGTGAATAAATGGATTAGATGCGGCTTCTCTTTGCATAGTTATCCATTTTGTAAAATGTAATTCAGTTTATTACTTTTTTGTCCACCTGCTAGTTTTATGACATGAAATCTGTGAGTCACTTAGTAGTTGGTAAAGTTACCGCCTCACTACTTTTGCATGTTTCTCATTACCTATTTTCGGCTTCTTTTGATTCGCATTGTTGTTAATCTGGCTTTCATTTTCTCTCATTACCTATTTTCAGCTTCTTTTGATTGGCATTGTTGTTAATCTGGCTTTCATTTTCTTTTGTTTGAGCTCTGAGTTTGTTAAATGATCATACTTGGTAAATTGTCCACATCTACCTATCGTGCTCAATCAGGAATAACTGAAGAAAAAAGGGGAGGGGAAGCTGTTTAAACTCTGATTTAGCTTTCATGATCAATTCTAAAAACATTTCTTTTCAGCTGGTGCATGTGCTTCTGGTACTTGCATTTTTCAGTCATATTGCATGGGCTGTCAAGGGCAGCTCACATTGCAAGCAGACCCATGCAGCAGAGATTCGGCCTCACAGTGTCACTATTACCGAATTCGGTGCAGTTGGAGATGGTGTTACTCTCAATACAAAAGCATTTCAGAATGCCATCTTCTACCTCAATTCATTTGCTGACAAAGGTGGGGCCAAGCTTTTTGTCCCAGCAGGCCGGTGGTTGACAGGAAGCTTCGATCTCATCAGTCACCTAACTTTGTGGTTAGATAAGGATGCAGTAATTCTTGGATCAAAGGTAAGTCCTTAACTTACTCCAAATGACCATTTATCTGTAAGATGTGAAAAGAACATTGTGGCAGTCACATGGTCTTTCCTGTGATCCCCTTCTGGCTAGAAATTTTGTGGTATATGGGATATAAACTGTTGTTAATGCTATATGTAATGAACAGTTGAAGTTGCAGAACAAGCACTCGGCTATTTAAGCAAATCAATTCTTATACAGTGAACATACTAATTTAATAATGCAAGAATAACATCTCATTTGTGATCATCAATTCTCTACTGCTAGTCTATGTTATATCTTTCTGTCTATGCCCCAAATTCAAGTGGGCATTTCCATCTGTTGTAAGCCTACTAACCTAGATGCTTTCTTATCACATGTTATAAAACTGCATATTTTCTGTTGTTTCAGAATTCTGGTGACTGGCCAGTTGTTGATCCTCTGCCTTCCTATGGCCGAGGTAGGGAGTTACCTGGAGGAAGGCATCGAAGCCTTATATATGGTCGCAATTTGACTGATGTAATTATAACAGGTTAGTAACATTGATGGAAAATCATCTTCCATAAGCATTTTATTTCTTTTGTTGATGTCACTGGTTCTCCATGCAGGTGATAATGGAACTATTGATGGCCAAGGCAGTGTTTGGTGGAGCTGGTTTAGAAGTAAAACTCTGAACTATACTCGGCCCCATCTGGTTGAGTTGATGAACTCAACTGGTGTTGTAATCTCAAACTTGACTTTCTTGAATTCACCATTTTGGACCATCCACCCAGTATACTGCAGGTTTGTGTCTTTGTTAATAATATTAGCATGCTCTTCCTTGAATGTTGCAATTAAGTTGTTTTACATTACCATTTTTAGAACAGAATTATCAAGAGTGAAAGCATTTATCAATTAAGTTGAGACTTTTATTTTCTTGATGGCCAGCCATGTCATAGTCCAGAACGTCACAATCCTAGCTCCTCTGGATTCACCAAACACGGATGGGATTGATCCAGGTGAGTTCTATATGCTAACTTGGAAATTCTGTTTGAATTATCAATTATAAGTATTCTTGAACAATTCCAAATAGCAAGCAATTAAGGCTGTAACACCTTTAAATGTACCAAATTTTGGAAGACACAAGATTCTATTTCATAACACCACTTTGTGATAAAGTTGTAATCAACATACGTATCTCTATTTTTCCCCATTTGTTGAGTCAACCTCTCACATCTTTCTTACCGATATATTTGAATACACCCAGATTCTTCTGATGATGTTTGCATTGAAGACTGTTATATTAGCACTGGTGATGATCTAATTGCCATCAAAAGTGGGTGGGATGAGTATGGCATTTCATTTGCTCGCCCTAGCACAAATATTATCATCCATCGGCTTACCGGACACAATCGGAATGGCTCTGGGATTGCAATTGGAAGTGAGATGTCTGGAGGTGTTTCTGAAGTTTATGCAGAAAACCTCTATTTTTTCAATTCAAGCACAGCTATTATAATAAAGACTGCTCGTGGAAGGGGTGGTTATGTGAGAAATATTTATATATCAAATGTTACCTTGGCTGGTGTAGACACAGCTCTAAGGTTCAATAGTAATTTTTCTCAGCATCCAGATGAGTTTTATGATCCAAATGCTCTCCCTGTAATAGAAAGGATTACTGTTAAGGACGTCATAGGAGATAACATAAAAGTTGCAGGCCTCCTCAAAGGCATAGAAGGGGACAGCTTTCATCATGTTTGCTTATTGAATATTACTCTCAATGTAACCACAGAGTCTCCATGGAACTGTTCATTTATTCAAGGATATTCTGCCTTGGTTTCCCCAGAAACTTGTGAACCTCTGAGGGAAAGTATCTACCCCAAGCATTATTCAGATTGTTACCTTCTGGCAAATCATTTGTGGAGTTCAGGTAATCAAAACAGAGGTCCTTGGTTGCTTTCTTGGTAAATAGCGGAAACATAGCATTTGCTTTACGGTGAAATCACCCTCTTTCATGAATTTTGAATTTTTTAGTTGGAATTTTGATTCTTGCCATTTCTCAACAAAACAGCCCATCACCTCGCCAAGGAAATGATGCCCGACATAAGAAGCTGATTGGAGTAATTATGTGGCTGTTGACTTGTGAGATGGTGTTTGAGAGATTGTTTTTGTAACTTTGTGTGCAGTAACAAATAATTGAGTGATTTGTCAGAAAAATGAAAATAGATGAGTATGTCTTTGAAAGGTTTTTGTCTTTTTCTTTCTTTGGCTTGTTATAATCTGAATGCCAACAGTGCAAGTTATCAAAAGTTCAATGAAAACAGAATCACAGAAAACTTTACATATACTGTATAATTTCTTGAGTTGATGGTCTATCCAGCCTGTTTCCAGGAAAGTTGCATATTTTGTATGAAAGGGAAAGGCTCAAAGCCAAAGGCAATTTCCATGCTTTGGAAGGATATGTAGAGGAAGTTCTCAACTAACATACAATGATAATGACTTGCAAGACCCATGTCTTTGTTTTGGTATCATACAAGATTCTTTGCATCAATGACTGTGCTAGGGGAGGTGCAAGTTCCTCAACTGTATTTGTATTCTTCAATCTAAAGAGTATTCAATTATAGTCCGTAAAAGAGTTGAAAGAAAAAAGAAATACACTTGTAAATCTAATCAGATAAGATGTTTCATCAAGAATGCACACAAACAACCAATGAATCTTTTCTCAGAGGCTGAGAACCTTAAAATTCAAACTTCCTTTTATCTTGGAGATGCTTCACTGCCATCTTTTTTTATAACAGAACATAAAACCTGTCTTGAAATGTATGTTTCAAGCTCCCTGGAAACTTCTGTTAACTTCAAATCGAAATTGCTTCTATATTTTTGTTTTGGTGATGGCATAAAATTAGAGCCAGAAAATCGACGCCTTGGACTGGAAAACCTTCCTGGTGAAGCTGGAAGCCTGCCCTTAGAAATTAGGGGCGGTGTTGCTGTTCCTGTATTGGCCATATTTCTTTCTGGGTTCATTAGTGGGCCACGTTTTGTCTCCAGTTTGGCCATATTTCTTTCTAGGTTCATTAGTGGGCCACGTTTTGTCTCCAGTGGTAATGGCTTCAATGGATCAAATTCCACCGCCGGCTTTTGTTTCATAAGCCTTTCTCTAGCCTTCTCTGCTGCTAGAAGAGCTTTCTCCCTACTAAGATTTATCAGTTTCCATGGGTCAATGCTTACATGGAAGCCTTGTTTCTTGCTGGTTAAGCTGGAAGCTTCAGAATCTCCATCAATTCTTATGGACAGTCTTGATGGGTTCTGAAATTTGAACTAACCAGTGAGATGAGCCTTGCTCAAATTCTTTAGATAAAATTTAAGATGGGATATCTTGTATGTATACCTGACTTCTCTGTCGTCTGCATATGAACCTTGACACAAATGTTTGTTTTTCAGTTGAATCAAAATCAGAGCTATCCTCTGACGAGATATCTGAGTCGTCAAATTGGTCTACTGTAAATTGGTTCTCCTCTTTCATAGCCAGAATATAATCATATGTTCTCATTCCCTGTGACAAGAATCATCACATACTATTGAGACTGGAAAGCCATGGGCACCGATTCCACGGCAAGATATGCCACAGCTCAAGTTGGGAGCACCAAATCAACAAACAACTAAAGTCCTTGGGTCAATTAAAAACGGCTAATTAACGATCTCTTAGCATATGGGTACTATATGACAATAGTCAAATTGCTAGCACAGGCTAAAAGAATAGACGTTAAAAAGCTCATTAAACGGGCTTTGAAATGATACGCATGCTGAGATGTGACAATTCGATCCTCTACTGGCGAAAAGTAAGGAAATTTTCTTCAAGGACTGGGAAATTGACAGATAACAAATGCATATCAAATTTTGCTGATGCATCATCACATGCTCGGAATTGTTGTAACGACAAATGAGGTGCACTTTGAAAACGACAGAAAATTTCCTCAATTTCTTAGCTTTAGAGTAATTATTGAAAAATATGGATTTATCAGCATGGGAAATGCAAGATGATTTGCTAGTACCAAAGGGAATGACAACAGAATGAATATGACTCCCACCAGCACCATAGCTTTTCTTTTGTAAACTGACCGCATGGAAAGAGACCCATTTCATGTGCATAGAGTTACAATGGAGACGTTGAAGGAAGCATGTGATGGAAGCTTGAGGTAGAAACGACCAAGCACGTCAACTTAGTACAGAAATGTTTCTATCTTGTACCCAACCAAACAGATATGGCGTCATTATGTTTTGCAAAATAATCCTAAGAAGGAAGCTATAATTACTTACCTTTCTTATCAGAACCACATGAAAGAAGAAAAGCTGTCCCATTGCTGCCGAACCATAAGCAGTAAATAAAGCCAACAAAATCTGAAATATTTTTAGAGAGTTAAAACAAACCCGTACCAGAATTTGTATTCCAAATAAACTTCAACTGGAGATTTCCAATTTCCAATGTAAGAAAGAGAGATAATATTTACTGTTATTGTGGCAAGAACTTCTCTAGGAAACTCAATATAGAGCCTTTTGTCCAGCTCCTGCTCTATTCCCTTCTTATCTGCAAAGCACCTGACGAATATGGCAATAGCAGTTCCTCCTTCTAGGATTAGCTGTAACAGTGATAGCCAGGGTAGATAGAATTAACTTAGAATTTGAAGCCCTTTGGGAGGAAAAATACTAAAATAGGGCATCACGAAATTGATCTCTAACAAGTAACAATAGAAGGACATATGAAACAACTTACCATTAACAAGACAAAAATCATTAGTAGAATGAATGTTGTGTAATTTCTTTTCCCTACACAGTTGTTTAACCACTGACATAAGATAAAACAAGCAAATCTACATCAATACACATAAATTGCTTTCTCTAATACACTGCAAACCGAAAACGGAAACAAAAATCAAAGGCCAAAATTGGCCCTTACCCTGCAGTGATGATCGAAACCTTCAACACACCGGTTGCAAGTCCTACAGTGCTTGCTATGTTTTTTCACCTAAGATAAAGCATAGAAAGCTGTAAAAGACAAAATACAAGGGAAATAACTGCATTTTGTTTGAAAAACAAAAAAGAAATAATTGTTACTAGCACAAAGACAAACCTCAAAATCACAGAGAGAACAATAGGAGATGTCATCCTCTTTAATGTCAGGTGAAATCGCGTCATCCTTCATGACCAGGGGAAATGGTAGTAATGGTTCCATTTGGACATTGGTTTTCCACGGATCCAGATACTTCCTCCTTATAAAAGTCCTAAGAATCTTCTTCTCCAACCTCCTAAAAAACCTTACAACAATCTGGGTCAATAAGAACCCATAATTTAGCTTGAAAATCCCTTTAGATTTGCCTCTTTTCTTCTTCCTAGAGCTGGTTTTATCAGTTGGGTCAATAGCAGTACACCTAATAAACAGGAACATAACTGAGAGTGCCTGGAATTCAAAAAGTTAATCAACAGCTTATTAATTAATTCTCAGTGAGCTTTGGACTATAAAAACAATTTAAAAAAAAGGTTCAAAGTTTTGCTTTGAGAAGATTACCACAAAGGAAAAGATAGTTGTGACAGTAATTTCAGCAATTCTGTTTCCAAGCAAAAGGCCTAAAAACGTATAGAAGGCCACAACTAGAAAAATATATACTGCCATTCCCACCATCTGCAAATCCAACAATTTCGATTCAATTCAAAGTTTCAATCCAACAAAATCAGCAATTCTAAGACAAAAGAAACAGTCTAACCTGTAAAGGATGGAGAGGTCGCTGCCAACCATGGCGTCTCATGATCCTCATGGTCCTAAACTTTTCAGCTCTTTGAATCCAAACAACAACAGAATTTTATGGGTGCTAATTTAAATTAAAATTAAGTTATTTAGCAACCCAAATCGTTAAGAGGAAAAGATTTCTACTTTTCGTTGTTAGCTGTTTTTACTGTGTTTTGTGTTCATTTAATGTTTCTCTTGAAGTTCACGCTTAGCTTGAGAGAACATCATGGCTCTTGGCTTTTGCCCCCCAACGGTCGAATTCTGATAAGGCGGTTTGAAATTTGAACGGCGATTTTGGATGTAGATCTAGGCCATCCGACGGCTATGAGTTCATCATCATTGTTTCTTTTCCATTTTTGGGGGGCCTCAAAAGACAAAAATATAGTGTGTGGGGCCATTGAGATTGGTTTGACTACCATTTCATGGGCCGCCAGCCGTAATAGTGATCTGGCGACGTGATACTTGTGGAATGTTAGTAGGCTAAATGGGAAATTGATGGCCTGAAAAGTTTTAGCCCAATAAAATTCGGACTTTATGAGCTTATGAAATACATGGCCCAAATAGTTGGAGATAAATCCGTTTTTCTTAAACTAGTAGGGAATGCGAAGTTTGGCAGCATCCATGAGTTCCTCCAAATTCATCAGTGAATTATACTATTGAAAGCAACAAAAAAAGAACAACGCCGAACACGGCCGAAGAATCACTGAAGCATCTGGAGGAACTCAAGGTTGGCACCAGAGGAGAAAGCACTTGTGACTTTAAAAGCCGTAGCCTTCGCTGTGGGTTTGATTGGATCGATAGGCTTACTTGTCGTTCGCCGACCTGAAATCGTCATGTATAGATAAATATTGCACCTTCAATCTGAGCTTAATTATAACTAGAACACTATGATAACAAGGAACAACTGGGAATGTTTTTTGGATAATAACAAATGGCCCCGTGCCTGCTAACCCAAAGGAGATTCATTGATCTTGGACAGTGGCACTGTGCTTTATTCTTCTTATGGGTGGAAACTTGCAAGGAAACGGAAACTTATCTACACAGACAAGTGACGACTATTTGAGCAGTTGAAGAAATCCTTTGAACCAAGTTGATTAAAACGTGTGGAAAGACTAATGTTTCCTGGCCCTGGGTATAAACCTTGTTATTTCATCATAGGCAGGCTTGCTTCTGATTGGTTCCTACACATTGTTTAGCTGCTACTGCTGCTCCACGGATTGGCTTGCTGGAGACTGGAGTCAGAAACTGGAAATTAATTTTCCCTATGTAATGTCAGAATTAGTGGGCAACAATATACATATATATATATATATATATATATATATAGACACAGACACATACGAAATATCAATCTGTTGAAAGATGAAGCAAGAAAATGGAGAAGGAAAATAATTAAGATGCATGAAAAAGAAGTAGATTTGTCCTTTGATCCCTATTTATTTGGTTGAATATATTAAAGATAAATTATTTACTTCATTAATATCAAAAAGAAAGAAGTATTTTTATTCAAAAACAAGTAACTATAATTAATTTTATTAGATTTTTTTAATTACTAAATCCAAAATATAAAGTATATCTCTTTGATCCTATCTAGTTCTAATTAAATTTTATTAGATTAATCAATGGAAGAATTTATGCGATGAAATCAAGAGTTCAAAAACGATTTCGATCAAATGTAAGACCCAGTAATAATTAGCGCCCTATCTTAAAATTTTAACATACTACTCTATAAGTAAAAACCCATTAGCATTAGCATTACAAACAGTTTGGCGATATATTAATAAAAATTAAATTTTTTATTTTAATTATAAGAAATCAAGCTTTAACAATCTCGAATGTAAATAGTATACATTATATATTGATTTTTTATGTAAATGTTAATTAATCATTTAAAATATAAAACATATAACATGGCTGGCCTCAATATTTTTATTTTTAAAAGTTTGGTACGTACGTAGTGTTACTGTTAATAGTGTGTGTTAAGTGGGGATAAAAACCTAATTTAATTAGTATTAGGATTATGTAATATCTTATGATAACTCATAATCTACCTAATATTTTTGGACAATCTCAAAATTATATACTATTTTTTCCTTGTTTTTAAACATCTTAGGTTCCTAATAATCATATCACTTCCATTATACATCTGACATTGCTGCATTAAGTTTATTTGAATATAAGGTTTGCAGAAAAATCTAATGCCATTAATTGCCCTTCTTAATTTTCTTATAGTTTGTAGATAATTTTCTTATAGTTTTATTAATATATATATTTATATATATGGGCAAGGGTTAAGCAAACTAAAGCAAAGTCGTACGTAACAAAATTTCTTCCAATAGCAATATATATGTTTAAAATTCTAATTTCCTGAAGGTTTAAAAAAACTTGTAAGGGGAGAGTTTAAAATCCATCATCTTCATTCCTTATCCCTTATTCAGAGGAAAAATAATTATAGCGCAGTAAAAAAATAATTAATACTTGTTAAATATATATATATATATATAATTTGCAAAAGTTATCTAAAATCCTTTCACAATACATGTATAACTCTTCATAAAACTTTATTTAATTATGTACAAAGCAAAATCATCTCCAACACAAAGAAATACTTAAAATTTTGTTCACCAATTCTTTCTTACACCCCACTCTAAGCTTGCAGTATGCTTATTTTGCATGTGACGGACAACATATAACATATATATTATCTACGGTAAGAAGTATAGTCATCTTTAGATTAGAAAAGGCCGTCATTATATCACATTCTAAATCTTTTCTTACGGCTATAGACATGCGAAACTGCGAAATTGCAACTGCACGTCTGAACCACCAACAATCAATATATATACGGTTGTTGATCAAAAGAGCTGCAGAAATATTCTTCTATATAGCCCAGAGGTGTAAATAGATCAAACTGCACGTCAGAGCTTGCTCCGTATATTCTACTCAAATCTGATCATATTGGATAGCCTGGAACTACCAGTTATATGATCATAAAAGAAATCGGCTCCTTCTTATCTCGAACTGCCTAATTAACTAGCAAAAGCTTATGCAAACAAGTATAAATATTCTGAGCATGCATCCGAAGGCCCAAAATTTAATCACCCTGGCTGGTTAGTGGAGAAAGTGGTGCAAGACTGAGGAAGCTGTGGTGATCCTGGAAGGCCAGGCACCCCATTGGAGGAATTGTTAGTCCCACTATTGTTATTACTGTTTCCATTGTTGCTTGGTGGTGCTCCCATAATTGTTGAAATAGCTGCAGCTAAGGCTGCGGTGAAATTTGGATCAGAAGTGATGGCTGCTGTAACAGTTTCAACCATAGAAGCCGGACGTTGCCCTAACTGCATTGCCGGTAATGCAGATAGCTTGTTAGGAGCGAACATTGGGTGCCCTAAGAGCTGCGGATAACCGTGCAAAGGTAATGGAAATGTAGCAGTGGAAGGTGGGGGACGTAGCAATGGAACGGCGTTTGGGCCCTGAGTTAAGTCAAGGGTTATGGTGGGAAACGGCGCCGAGGCAGATAGAGTGGCCATTGTTGATGCGTAAGGCAAGGAAGGGAAGTAGCCAGAACTTGGTAGTCCATGGCCATCCTTGCTTGTGGTTGAACCTGATAGCAGCATGGCTGCCGCAGCTGACGTAGTGTTAGCCATAGCTATGGCTGCTGGTGGAAGAGGGTGATTGTGATTTCCTTCATATGTTGTTATGAGAATGCTTTTATCCTCCGCACATCTTTGCACCTGTCAGAAAATAAGGTAAATTTTAAAAAGAAGGTAAGGTTTTAAGTAGCTGAAGGCTTCAAATTAATCAATCCATTTTACTCTCTTCTCGTTCCCACAATGAAAAAACGGAAGAAAAAGACAAGAAAAAGGGTAATACCTGCTTACGGACTGGGCAGCCAACAGCCATGGTGCAACGATAGTAGGCGCGTGGGCAAGGGTTACCCTTGGCCATCTTTTGACCATATTTCCTCCATTGACAGCCATCGCTTATCTGCACACAGAAAAATAAGATCCACTGACAAATATCTCTTCAAAGTTTTTGCAAATAAATGTTGAGGTAAAATTTTACAGTACTAGCACTGTAGTACTTACCGAGGAAGCATCTGATCTCGCTCTAACCGACACCCTGGCCTTCCTGAAAGGTACTTCAGAGACTTGCTCTTCATTCTTTGACTGATCTACCTTTGGACTCTTGGTTTGAGAAGTTTGATCAGTACCATCTTCAACTGAAACGTGCTTTCCTGGAATTTGAATCATTTGAAGGTCTCGTTCCTTTGACACGACTTCCACAGTGTTTGCTGGGGATGCTGACAATTCTTGCATCTTGTCGTCAGATGCCGAAGGTTCATTGACATCTAATGCAGCCGATGGTCGTGGGTCCATGAACTGTTGGACTGACATTATGGGACTTGACATGCCATTTATTGCATCCTTCTGTTTGAAAACCAACTCTTTGATTAGCCTTAACCTTGATATTCATCAATGAGAGAAGCAAAATATTGCTCCGCTTATCAACCAATCTTCACTACCTCCAAATATCAAAATCAAGAAAATAAAATATATTTATGTTATCATATTCCTCCTATCTCACTGAAACACTCCCCCTAACTGGTTTATCCTAAATTGTAACATCAGAGAAATGAAAAGTACACAAATAAACTATGCTACTCAAAAATTACGAATCATGGGGTTTGAAGCCAGGAAAACAGACCTTTTTACATATAGAATGTCCACAAAGTGCACACGAGGGGTTGCAAATTAAGCCTGAATAGGCAAGTGGTTGAGCAAACGCCGCCTACTCTACATAGCAGTCTTTACTCTATATCATTTACAAGCAGGAAAATTGTTGGCACATGGTGGGTCATATAGATAGGGGGATCGAACTGTTTGCGAATTTAATGAAATTTCAGTTTGAAAGATATTGGAGGGTTTCCAAACTTCAAAGTGGCTTTGCATGATAATAGAGGTGGAAAACTGGGATTGGCAAAGATGTATTACCAATAAGATATTGAAAAAAGATGATACGGGATCAAGGGAGCACATTTTCCAATTCAAGTGAAGCACGTTAACCAATTGTCTTGCAAATTAAAAAAAACATATACCTATATCATACTGTTAAATTTTGAATGGATAAAAATCCCTCTCGCACTCTCTAATTCTAACCACATGGATCAGAATCACCGAGCAATCGGATGATGATGATGATGATGATGATATATTCGCATATATCTGGTGTGTTTAATTAAACTTAAATATTTCACCTGTTCTCTTTGATTTCCGAGCGCCTGTTTATGCACCGCCATGAATAGTTGACCTTGTAGTTCACGGTAGTTTCTGGTAATCTGATCCAACATGCTTCTTAGTCTCCGATTCTCTTCGTGTAACCTTTCTAACTCGATTTGAAGAGCACTCATCTGAAAAACCCAATTTTCCATTAACAGTTTAAACTTACGAAATCATAAAGAAATTAAACAAAAACATGGTAAAAACGTTTTTCATGAAAAAAAAAAAAAGTCTTTGCAAAACTTACTTCAGCGTTGGGTTTATCTTCATTAGTTGTCCTTGAAACTCCCTGGTTTGAACTGCGAAGATTTAATCCAGTCTGAACAACATATTTTTAGTCAATGAGAAGTAAACTCAAATTTCCATAATAATTCCAACTAGTACTATATTAAAACTATTTCTTTAACAGCCGATAGAGCCGATACGTTCAATGAATATATAAACATTTAAAAAAATAAAAAAGTTGGGATAAAAATCCAAAACCTTACGTTTACACCCGAATCAAACAAAGAAGATGATCCATTATTATTAATCTTGCTCTCTTGATGATGATCATGTGATTGACTATTAGTAGAAAAGAAATCCATTTCCTTGATGTGTGGCTTAACATGATGGCTAGAATCATCAGGGGTGCCATCAGGCACACCAGAATTCTGTCGCAGGAAGTCACCGGAGTGCAAGAACGTCAATTCTCGACGGTGCTGCTGCTCCATGGAGAAATTAGAAAGGGGAAGAATAAAGGGAAATAGAGGGAGATAAAAGAGGGGGAGTAGTTATGTAGCTTTTTCAAGCTTTCAACAAGAAAGAGTATTTTCGCTATATAATTATATAATAAACTGGAAATAATAATGCCAACAAATTTTGAGAAAATAATGAAAAAATGTTTTAGCTTGAGGGGTGGTCCAAAATTAAAAAAAAAAAAATTATTAGAGAGAAAGAGTAAGCGAAGACCAGCCGTTTTTTTCGCGGGAGATATGACGTAACAGTTCATTTACAGGGCGACGTGGCAAATTCTGGATGAGGTAGGACAAAGCGAGGAATGATCGGTTGGGGACGGCGAGGTAGGGGACGGAATGGCGTTAAAGATAACGGTAGGATAGGTTTTTACTGTAGAATAGAGAGGGGTAGGGTAGGGCCGTCCACGTGGGGGCGTCGTCTTGAGGTCAACGCAGTTGACGGCACGGCTCTATCTGACGGTGGTTTGGGATTTAAAAAAAAAACGGTGTGGGGTCCAGCTAAGGGAGAATACCTAATCCCACTGACTTATGAAACCTGGCGCTCACGTCATTTTTGGATTAGTCCACGCCCTTCTCTAAGCTCTGGGAAAGACCCCTTCCTCCGGGGCTGGCTCACCTGGCTCGGCTCCTTTGTTGTTCCACACGCATACCTACCATATCTTTCCCTTTTTAATTTTTTGGAATTATATGTACATAAGTAATCTTTTTTCACACCTTTTTTTTTCTCTCATATAAATTAATTATATTTATTAACATGTGAATCTCAAAATTCAATGTCAGAATAATAATGGATATTTTCGTTAAATAAATCACTTCATGTGTGCCTTATTTTTCGTGTGGTGAACATTTTTTTAACTTCTCATCTTTTCATTGGTCTTCTAATTAAAAATAAAATTGAATAAATAAAAAAAAATTGTGGGAGAAGAAGAAACTCCTCGTCATGGAATATGAATAAGAGAAGGAACTTGATTTAATGGTAAAAAATATATTTTAAAATTTTGAGATTTGAATTTATATTTCATTATGTGTGAATTTGAGGGTTTGACCAAACTAAGTTTATTTCATTTAATTCAATAATTTTTATATAAACGTAATTCTTAATTATGTTTATAGTTTTTTATATTCCTAATTTTGTTAAAGAAGAAGGAAGGATAAAGTGCATTAGTAGTAGGTTTTACTTTGATCTTTAACCTTTAAATTATTTTATAATAGTCATAAACCTTTTAAATGATATTAATATGGTCCTCTAATCAAATTTTGCATAAAAATAAGATAAATTATAACTTAAAATAATAGAATTAGAATTATACTCTCTTTTTTCATTTTAAAATATATTTATTCGAAAAAAAAGATGACTTTTAAAATTTTTAAGAATGAAATAGAATTATCATTGTTCCCCCTAGTTTTCAAATTTCAACTTAAAATTAGGAAAAAATGGTAATTTAGTTTCCTTCTTAATAATTTTAAAAACTTTATTTTCTTTCTAATAAATATATTTTTGTATGATAGCAAAAAAAAAAAAATTTGACCCACCATGATTTTATTTCTTTTATTTATTCCTATTTTATCAAAAATTTATTTTTCTTATATTTATAAATTTTTATTAAAAATATAAAATTAAATCCTATTACAAGTAAAGCTAGATTAAAAAAAAGAGAAACATACCTAGATAGTATTTTAACACTTAATTAAACATAACTAAATGATAATTAACAATTTTAGAAAGTACTTTTTGTAAATTATTACTAGTATAATCTAAAACTCTCTAAAATTATGCCTACCTAACACAACAAATTTATTTACAACTATAATCTCTTGAGAAAATGTTTTATTAGAAGTAATTCATTTAAGATCACTTAGCAAATGAGTGTAATTATTTTATTGTTCAAGTTTAAAATTATAGTTATAATGTAAACATTATTAATTAAGTCTTTTAGTTTATACAAGTTTTTTATATTTTTTTAAGAACAAATGTTAACCACCCGATCATCGAAATTATTTGGGTATATTTCAGTTATTTATTGTTTTGTTAAAAATAATTTTTAATTTTACTTTTAATAGAATTTAATTTAATATTTTTTATCAAAATTTATAAATATTAATAAAATAAAATAAAAAAATGGAATTACGATAATGGATTTAAAATTATTACTTTTTACTATCATAACAAAATTTATTTATTAAAAATAAAATTTTTATAACTATTACAAATTAAAATAAATTAACATTTTTACCTTTGATTTTAAGTTTAATTTTTAAAATCAAGGAAAAAATTGATACTGTCTTTTCTTTCTAAAAATTTTTATAAATTTTATTTTTTACCAAAAATATATTTACATTATTTTAGTATGCTTTATTACTTTCTTTAAAAAAAAATGTTTAGCTTTATTTTTAATAGGATTTAATGTTATATTTTTATTAAAATTTGTAAATATTGGAGAAATAAAACTTAATAAAATAAAATCAAGAAAATGGACTCTAAATTATTACTTTTTGCTATCATACTAAACTGTATTTATTAATAAATAAAATTTTTATAATTATTGAGAAGGAAACTAAAGTACTATTTTAATCTTGATTTTTAGTTGAATTTTTAAAATCAAAGAAAAAACTATATTTCATTTTCTTCTAAAAAATTTTATAAAATTTATTTCCTTTCTAATAAATACATTTTGGTATGATTGTAAAGAGCAATAATTCTGAATTTATTACCCTTATTTGTAATTCCCTCTTATTTTTAATGCAAGGAGCCATATTGGAATCTTTTTAAAATGGTTTAAAATTATCATAAAATAATTTAAAGATTAAGAATCAATCCAAATTAAAGGTTTGGAATTATAAGTGCACTTTACCCCGAAGAAAGAAAGAGTTCAGAAAACCTAATTTTAGGCCTTGATTGATTAATGGGTTTATCAACTCCCATAGCCAAAGAATTAATTTAACAGCCCTAGGATATTGTACAAATATTGATCTATTGCTTAGCCTTAGTTATCTATCTATATATGAACTTTAAACAGGCAAAGCTTGAACCACAAATGGATCGCTCCTTCCATGCAGTTATGTTGTAAAAAATTGCCGGTGTCAAGGGTTAGTCACCCCCTACAATTAATATATAGGTTCTTCCCAACGCTGCTAGCCTAGCTAGCAGCATTAATATTATTTTGTATAGCATCGACTGAGGGAGACAATTAACATGACTAAAGAAATTAAACTTAGTTGAGTTTCAATTAGTGTCTTAACTATGTAATTAATGTCAAACTGGGAAATTGGGGCAGCAGAAAAAATCATAATTGATGGGCAGAATCTTTTGACTTCTACTTAGTTATTACAAGTTGATTAATTTCTGTAGAAGATAAAAAATGGTCCAAGCACATTATTCTTTTTCCAAATTCCTATGGTGTGGTTTCTTGCTTCTTTCGACAATCTCGAATAAAGAGCTAACTCGACTTGTTGATAACTAAATTGTTCGTGTGACAATGGAGATTCAAATCTAACTTAAAAAAAAAAAGTTACGAGAATTATCATTCAAATTTTTGAGAAGAAAGAGCCAAATAAAACGATGCCAATCTTCCAAAAAAACTTTATTTTTGTGTACACGGTACCGTAAATTTTAAATTGACTTTGGCTAATATTAGAATGTGTAAATTAATGTAATTGACTGACTAAAATATATTAATGTGCAAAAGAGATGACAACAGAATCCAATAATTTTAACAGCTAGATGGTTGAAGGTTTTTTTATTCATTAGCAATCGATGTGCATCAATTTCTCAAGTTTTTTTTTTTTTTTCATATATAATTACATATTCCTTGACAAGTTCAAAGAAGATGTTGTGGCAAAAGCCAAAAAATAATTGAAACGTGATAAGAAGTAGTCTAATTTTTTTATTGAGCATTTTATCAAATTATTGAGGATTACTTGCAACCAAGGTCATCATTGGGGGAAAGTACTAAAATTCAAAGCTCTAGACCTTGTTATGGTATTATTTTTCTATAAGCTAATTAATGTTGCAATATTGTATAAAAAAATTTCCATTGATTTGATTGACTATGGAAAAGTTCGTATTTCTGATTTGGAGAACATATGCTCAAGTTAAGTTGCAGGTAAAATACCCGGTTTTGAAGCTATATTTTTCTATTGGCTACAACAAAAGACCATTCACTCACCTAATTAGGAAATTTCATTGAAGGAGTTCATTAAATATTTCTTCAGTACTGAAAATGATGGCACTTATTTATATAATATTTATATTTTAATCATATAATATATTTCCAAATAGCATTTTGCATTTATATATAATTTGTAATAATATATTTAATATTTTATATAACAAGGGCGAGATAGGGGATACATTTGCCTTCCTCTTCCCCGATGAGAAATTCTATTTTCCATCGTCGTCCTCACCTCGATCCTTGAAACTTTATTCCCTCAGACTCGTTTCTGTCGGGGTGAGAAATCAGGTTTGGATGAAATTGATACAAGAAATCAATACTTTTAACCCTATCCGATTTTCCTTTTTTCCATGAACTAACCTCAAAATTTAAGATACCATTTAGTTTAACTTATTTTAAGAATTTTATAGCACTTGGAGGATTAGCTTCCCTCTTTAGAGCTAGATGATGCTCTACTTGCTTTTTCTTTAATATACGTTATCTAAGTTTTGTCTTTGGAATTAAAAAAAATGACTGCAGTTTATACATACATCACCAACTCTTCAAGTCTATAATGTTGTTATCAAGCTTACAGATATTATGCTAAGCAGCACCATATTTTTATACACAAAAATCCCAGTTTAATTAGTCAATATGTGGAAAAGTTTGGTCAATGGTGTAGAAAGATGCCCCCTTTGACACTGAAAACCACAGCTGGAAGGTCCCTCTCTTTGGTTTATAATAATAAAAAAAATACAAGTACTTGAGAATGATCAGATTGTCTCCAGCTTTACACAAACAAAACAGGACAAATAAAATTAATATATAAAAATTTCCATGTGAAGGATATCTTCAAGTCAATGATATGAACTAAACAAAGGGTAATCTTGTATTTTTATTTTTTTTCTAGTTTGTCCATTGTTTTGAATTTGAAGGCCTTTCTAACCTGGAACTACTCATCTTTGATAATGTCCTGCATACCAACTTGATCGTCTACACACCCAACTGCAAGCTGATGTTGAATGAGGGCTTTTATTTTCCTGCTTCCTGGAGTTTCAATTGAAAGCAACTTTTTTATTTGTTAATTGACAAATCAATGTCCAACTGCAACCTTCTTAAAAAAAACTATACGAATCTAAAACGACAAATCTTTTTTTGACTATATGCGCATCAAGAAACAAACACATCATCATCATCAGCTTAAATCAAGCAAATGGTTAATAATGATCTGTCAAGCAATTACTCATCATCTCGGATTATGTGTGATTCACAGTGGTTAATTTTGACTACTAGCATTTAGAAGAAATCTTAGCTTTTTCATATTCTAGTCCATCATTTCTTGTGATGAACATCAAAATCAGTAGCTGAAGCCAGATTTTAAATTTCAGAAAACAGTTGGAAACCAAACTTTTTATAAATAAAATATACATATATAGTCGTGTTTTATAGGTTTGTATTAGTAGTATAGCTAGGCTTCTAGATTGTAGTTGGTAATTGGAAAATGTGATTCAAGGAATATATCCAAATAATGGGTCG